ATGAGACAAGTGCTCGGGGCTGGTGCACTAAGATGACCCAGAGGGATGGGATGGGGAGGGAGGTGGGAGGGGGGTTCAGGATGGGGAACACGTAAATCCATGACTGATTTATGTCAATGTATGGCAAAAACCACTACAATATTGTAATTAGCCTCCAACTAATAAAAATAATTGGGAAAAAAATAAATAAGAATTCTATACTGAGCACCAAAAAAAAAAAAAGTTTGCTGTGAGAATTAGATGAGGTTCTGCAGTAAAGTGCTTCCCTGTTGGCACATGATAAGTGCCTGATGACGTTAGCTAACCTTCACCGGTGTGACTTGCGTCCCAGCTCACGTGGGAAGAGGTAGAACTGAAATGCACAGTCCAGCAGGATTCTGGCTCTCTGTAACTTGGGGTGAGTTAGTAGATAACATTTATGAGCCTCGGTTTCCTCCTCTGTAAAGAACAAACCGACAGTGAAGATTGCCCCCAAGGATGGCTGAGATAGAGATGCAGCTGGGGACCCGGGACAGAATACTTGCTCAGTAAATGCAGATTCCTTCCTTCCTTTCCCTGGCCTCATCCTTTCACTGGTGCTGGCAACAAGCCTGGACTCAGAGGAAATCAGGAAAGCCCAACCCAGACCTCACTCTTCAAGGCCTGGTGGGGAGGGTGGGGTGGTGGTGCTTTTCCAGGCAGCTGAAATGTCTGTGGGAAAACAGTCCGTGGGGATGTGACCCTGTTAGCATCGTAAGCAAAGGATAAGCTTCCTTCTGTTTCTCCTTAAGTGAGTTTCACTGTCATGATGTCCCTGATGAAACTTACACCCCAACTTGCAGCCCCAGCACAACATTCTCCTCCAGAGAAGTCACGTTAGTCCTTCTGCATCCATCCTTGTTGCTAAGGAATCTCTGTTAGACCTCAAGGGCCTTACTCTCCCAGTTTCTATTTTGTTATTATTTCTGTGTCTTCACTTCACAGAAAACACAAGTGTTTTCTGTGTAAAAATGCTGACGTTCCTCTTCTCCCCACTCACACTTCCTCCTGCACTTTTTCAGAGGTGAGCATTTAAGGCTACAGGTCAGGGATCTGAACCAGGCTTGTGAGGGCCGGTCCCAGTCTGGGTCCTGAACAACAGTCCTTCCTCATCTGCTGTCCTGGTGCCCTGCCCTCTCCCTCTTAACATAAACAGAACAGCTCGTATTCCATGTCTGAATAGTAAACCTGCTGTCTAAAGTTTGCTTTAATATTTATGCATTCAGTGCTGCTGCCTGTTTCTGAGCTTCATCAAAGCCTTTATTATAAGAGCATTTGAAAATGCTGGGGAAGGAGAGTAGGGAGTGGATGTATCTCCCCATCTTTCTCACTCTCCAGACCGACTCACTCTTTCCTCCTCCCTCTCCCCCACCCCGAAGTTCTCCCTTCATCTAGCATCTCTTTTTCCCCTCCGTTCTCTCCCTTTTTTACACACACAGCAAAGAGAACTCTTTCCCAAGACCTCTGGGAGGGATCTGTTCAATATTTATAGACTGCTGCAGCAGCTATAATAACCAGAGGTAGCCGGCACCACCACGGTTTGCTCCAAATAGGATTCCACTCTGGAAACAAAGAACGAGTTGGGGTCAGGGGTGGAGGGTGAGACGTGAGGTGCACAGCTGGCACCAGCTGCCAGGGCCAGTGGGAGGGCACTCGGGGCTTGTCAGGTCTGTCCCTGGGGCTGGCTCGCTGTGGGGCCCCGGCCACTCCCCTGTCCCTCCGGGTTGCCGTACATTTCTGAGAGCCCTGCCAGCCCTGACATTTGGTGACCGGGAACAAGGGAGCATGGCCCCAGCTGGCACTCCATGTCTGTTCTGACTGCTGAGGCCCCCTCACCCCGTGACATCCCCTCCAGCGCCTTATCTGTTACGAGGATATTGACGCCAGATGCCCTGCCAGAGCTGGACTCCCTTGGAGAATTTTTCCCCAAAGGATGGGGAACAGGCAGGGTACAGTACTGCCTAGAGGAAAGGATGCCACTTTCGGGACCAGCTCCCCTGCCCCCCAGTGGCTTTGGAGGTGCCCTTTTCACTGCTCACACATGTTCATGGTTTGAATCTCAGCCCCTCTGCCATGCTGCACCTGGGCAGGTAGCTTCAGCTCTCAAACCTCAGTTTCCCCATCTGTAAACAGAGAAGGTGCTCTTTGCCTTGTAGGATTGCTGCAAAGATTCAGTGAGACAACATATATAAATGCCTGGCACATAAACAGTGTTCCTATGTGTGAAGTCCCATTCCACTCTGTGCAGGACAGCCCCTCTTCCTCATTTCACTCCCTTCACAGCCTATTTCCAGAGAGCAGGTAATCTGACTGTTTCCTCCTTCTCTGCATGTGGAGCATCCGAGGAGACTTGTCCGTCGATGGGCACTCTGTGTATCATGGTGGCAAGCGTTTTTTTTTACGGCCTTGGTAGCGGCGATCCAGCAAGGGGATTGATACAGACATTGGTGCTCTACTCTGCGCATCCCTGGAAAGCGATAAGGTCCCTCCAGGGAAGCTGGCTTTACTTGCAAAAGCATTGCCCCAAAGGATCAGACTGTGTCTCACTTCCTTCTCTCCTGGGTCTGAGAATCCATTAGGAGAACAAAGTGTTAGTTCAGTCCATTAAGATTCTTGCTTTCAGGCCAGGCCTCTGAGGGTATTAAATGCTATAATGGTCATTTCTGTCTCTCCTGGGGCAGCGACTAGATCATTCACATGTGAGTTAAAAGATACCACTTACATACCAGCCCGGAGCCTTTTCCCACCACCCACTTCCTGTTCTCCCATCACTCCAGCCCTCCCTTTAAGGAGCCTTCATGGAAGGGATCACAGCCATTTGCTGCTGGAGGTGATGGATGGGCCTCACAGGAGAGGATGATTTCCGGGGGGTGGACACACAGCTGGCACACGTCTGAATCCCAGATCGCCTCTTCAGCACTTGTCCAGTCATAAAGAGGACGGAGACGTGCAGAAGTGGCAGGAGCAAGAGACTGCCCCAGCCCGGTGGGTTTGCAGGCTTCACTCCTGTCCCCAAGCCTTTGTCTGATTTAGATCAACAGATGTTTTATTATGCAGACGCCTCTTGCGAGTTCTATTGTTCAGTCTCTGGCCACCCCAGACACGGGGCTAGGGGCAGACACGCAGGTACTCATCTTGATTCACTGCTCTGGGAGTTTATTCACAAAACAGCCAGGAGTTGGCTGTCAGCCCGGCTCTGCTGGGAATTTAGCTGAAAGTGAGGCAAAAGCCCCTGCCTTCATGAAGCTGCCAGTCTGGATGTAGAGAGGGGCAAGTAGAGGATCATCCAGAAGTCAGGCCTGCGATGGAGACAGAGGCCCGAGGAGGGGAGCGGGAGTCAGAGGTGACTCGGTGGGACTTCAAGGGACGGTGTCCTTTAAGATGGTCCTTGAAGGAGGTGTGAGATTGCAGTTACTGGCCCAAGCAAAGCAGGTTGGAGGAGGGAGCCACTGTTTCTGGAACAAGTGTTATCACTAAGCTCTTTACATGCATTTTCAGAGGGGAGACCATGCAAGGCCCCCTGGGACTGTGAGTCAGGGTCAGGATTCAAACACGATGTCACAGCATCTCCCAAGGGCAGGGGCAGGGCAGCGCTCAGAGGAGCAGGACCGCAGTCCCCCGGACTCTGTGCACTTCACGGTAGTCCCCCCAGGAAGCCTGGGGCCCCACTCAGCCCCCAGCCCTGCCCTCCCATCCCGGAGCTCTGCACATCCTGTCTGCGCCATGTCCCACCCCCTCCCACCTCCTAAAACCAGCTAGCCACATACAACCTGGGGGCCAGGACACTTTGGAGAATAAAATGGAGGAGTGTTACGTGTTGTGCTGGGGTAACAGGTAAACTGGACACGTTTACCCACCTTACAACTCTGATGACATCCTGTCGTCAGCATCATGTCCCGCATTCCTATTCTCTTTTGACGTTATTTCCTGTATCTTCCTACTCTGACTGAAACTGTGTCTCCCTGGGATGGGCCCGCTCAAGTGGTACCTGCTTTCTCTCACAGGCTGTCTGCCAGTGATGGGAGAGGGGTCTGCCATGCTCTTCCTGGGCGCCTCTAGACCATTCCTCCTCCCCTTTTCCCAGAAAACACTCATTGGTTTGAATCTCAGCGTCAGTGGACTGTACCCCAGCCCCCATCCTTGTGGCACATACACCTGTTCCCCTCATTCCTTGGAGGAGTTCGAGCTCACTGTCACCCTCTCCACTATCTCCTCCTCCTGTCGTATTTCTTGGTGACTTTAGTATCCATGTCTCTTCCTCTCCCACCCCTGGAGCCACTGTCAGGATACATCTTAAATCTGAAGACTTCTCTCCTCTACCATGACCTTGGGCCAGACCACCATCAAATCACATCTTCGTTCTGCCCTTGGCCCCTTCACAGTATCTTCCTTGCGGCAGCTAGAATGAGCACTGGTGAAAAGACAGATCATGTCATGCCTCTGCTTACAGCTCTCTCGTAACGTCTCATCTCCAGGGAAGTGCCAACAGGGGCTTGTCTGCCCCGTGCCCACCCCCCTTGCTCCCCTCTCTGTGGGACCAGATCTGCTCCCCACTCAAGCCTCAGCTCTGCTTGCCCCCTGCCGCTCGCTCCCAGATACTCCCCTGCACACCTGCTTCAGCAGTGAAAGTGCCGAGTCCTCACCACTGGACCACTGGGGAGCTCCCGACATCTGCATTTCTAACAAGTTCCTGCATGATGTTGAGAACCAGCTGCTCCGGGGCAGTGCCTGCCTGAATGTGTGTTAAGTGGAGGAAGGCTCGGCCAGGAGAGGAACGCGAGCAGGGGCCGGGGAGTTGGCCCACCACGGGCCTCGAGGGCAGGACCCAAGGGGTTTGAGCACAGCCGCCACGGCGGGTGCCCCTGGAGGCGTTAGAACAGCACGCAGCCCCGGGCGCTGGGGTTCAGGGGGAGGCGCGGCATGACCCGGGCACGGTGGGCCCCGCTCCCCGCCTCCCCCTGACCCTGCCTTTGTCTCCCCAGAGTACGCGGACAACATCGGGGATGGCCGGAGCCCCGAGTTCCGGGAGAGCGAGCAGAAGCGCATCCTGGCCTTGCTGGAGAACTTCTAGGCCGCTCAGCAGCGGGCCCTCCCTGGGGCTCCCCCGGAAGCTCTTTGTGGAGCTCGATGTGACTTTTGGACAAATTAAAGCTAGTTTTGGTATCCCCGGGCTGGTGTTCTTTGTACCGTCTGACCTGTAGCCGACACCTCTCCCCGCGGCGCTCACAGGACACGTCCAAGGAAGCTGGGTGGTGGGCCTCACCCTTCCAGTGAGAAACCAGAGGCTCTGAGAGACCATCAGTGATGAGGTGACCACTCTGCTGCCCTGGGGTCGCGGGGAGGCTGCCCGTCTGCAGCCGGGAAGGTGAAGGCGTGGGCTGGGAACCTCTCTGGGGCTGAGCCTGTGACAGGAGGCACATGGCTCGTGTGGAAGGGCTTCCATGGCGCTGCAAGGCTGGCCACAGAGCATGCGTCCTAAGAGCAGCAGTCTGAACTCAACCACACATCAGGGCCGCTCTGGGTGGAGAGGGGACCTAGAAGTATGTATCCATGGTGGCCCCACCCCAGAAGGATGAAGTCGGAATCTGTGGTTTGGCCCAGGCGCTGGCGCTATTCTAAGCCCCCAGGTGGTTCCGAGAGCCACTGCTTTAGAGCCCAGCTTCATTGTTCCCAGCTCCGGCTGTCTGGATAAGTGACTTTACCCTCTTGAATCTCACTTCCTTCATCTGCGAAGTGGGGGTAATAATCCCCTTATCCTTCCCTCACACATCTGTGGCTTCAGAACTGCAGTCTCACCCCTCTCCTAGAGACTGTGAGAAGGTTGGTCTCCTCCTTTATGGACACCAGCAGCCCTTTAGCATGGTTTCAGTCTGTCCCAGAGCGTAGAGTCCTCACTCATGAGGAGTAAGACAGCCGACCTAGAATGAAGTGTTAGCCCAGGGTCAGCTGGTGGACTGCAAGGGACGCCACCCGGCCCACGCAGTGCCTGTGGCCACCATTGAGTCAGAGCCGCTCTGGCTGCTCAGTGAGGCCCCAGGGACGGGGCCCCTGGTGGCCACTGCCATCTGGCCAGAGCTGACATGCCCTCTACATCCACGCTTTCTAACCTGTGCAGCACTGCTGGCGGCGTCATTATTTGAAGCTGAGACTGAGGTCCCAGAGGGTAAATAACTCGTGCGAGGCCCTGGGGCCAGTATACACAGAGCCCACATTCAAAGCGAAGTCTGTCCAACTCCACAGCCAGGCTCTGCTCTCCCCCCGGGCGGCCTCCATCAGGAGCCTGTCACAGGTCACTGGCTGAAGCAGTCCACTTCAATCGGCTCTTCTGTCCCAGGGATTTAATGAATTCACACAGAATGTAACCTGTGGAATCTTACACTTTTTACAATTTATTTTTACTGAAATAAGTTTACAATGTTATGTTAGTTTCTGGTGTACAGCAAAGTGATTCAGTTATACAAGTGAAAGGGTTCGTCACTCAGTCATGAGTGACGAAGGGAAGGATGGGAAGGATGGATTGGGAGCTGAGAATTAGCAGATGCAAACTATTACATAAAGGATGGATAAACAACAAGGTCTGACGGTACAGTACAAGGGACTAGATTCAATATCCTGTAATAGACCATAGTGGAGGGACTTCCCCGTGGAGGGACTTCCAATGCCCTGAGTGTGGGTTCAATTCCTGGCTGGGGAGCTAAGATTCCCCATGCCTTTCACCCAAAAAGCCAAAACACAGAACAGAAGCAATATTGTAACAAATTCAATAAAGACTTTAAAAATGGTCCAATCAAAAAAATGAGAAAAGAATATGAAAAAGAATACACACCCACACCCACACACCCTGGTGGCTTGGATGGTAAAGAACCTGTCTGCAATGTAGGAGACCTGGGTTTGATCCCTGGGTTGGGAAGATCTCCTGGAGAAGGGAATGGCAACCTAGTCCCAGTATTCTTGCTTGAAAAATCACTTGGACAGAGGAGCCTAGCAGGCTACAGTCTGTGGGATCACAAAGAGTCAGACACGACTGAGCATGCACAAGCACAAGCAAATGCTTGTACATGGTACAGAAGTTCAGATTTTAACAACAAGTTTGCAGTGAGGAGTCTCCCCTCCCATCCCCCGCCCCGCCAGGCCTCCCTATCCCTGGACACAACCGGGGTCACCTGATTACCCTTCCAGAGCGGTTCTGTCTAGCTGCTTTCTGCTGCATTCTACCCTGAGCCACAGACTTGCCACAAGTGCATCAGAAGCCAACATAGAAGAGAAGGTGGGGACTTCCCTGGTGGTCCAGTGGCTAAGACTCCATGCTCCTAATGCCAGGGGCCCAGGTTTGATCCCTGGTCAGGCAACTAGATCCTGCATGCTATAACTAAAAGATCATGCATGCCGCAACTAGAGATTGTGCATGCCACCGCAAAGATCGAAGATCTCACGTGCCAAAAACAAGCCCCGCCCAGTGCAGCCAAATAAATATTTTAAAAGAAGAAGAAAAGATGGGTAGGGCTCCAGGCACCCACTCCCTCCACTACAGTCCTCCTGCTTCCTATGTTGGGCTGCCTCCTGGGATTTCGTTTGTCCAACGAGTCCATGTACGAAAAGCAAGTTTGAACCCACACCTTCACTTTCAAATGAGAAAGATGTCCCCTTCTCTAGCGGTTTTGTGGTGGGAGGGTGGGGGAAATGTGATTTATCATCCCTTAAGATCAGAAAGAGTGTACAGTTCTAGAAGCTGGGGGACAAGGAGACGGGATGAGGAGAAACCTCTGAACTTGGCTATTTTTAAAAACCTGCCACTTGAGGCTAAGACTTAGGAGCAAGGGAAAGGCCCTCATTACTGATTTTACTCACCCTTAGGCTCCTGGGGCCTGGTTCTACCTCTTGAGCCTGCTCACAGCTGAGACTCCCTCACCGAGCAGCCTGGCTTCCTCAGGAGAACTTCTCGGGCTCAAATAAAGGCCCCATTTGCCCTGTGGTTCTGAATTTGGTTCTTGTTTCCACCACTCTTGGGCTTCCCAAGCTCCCCACTTCAAACAACGCCCCTTCATGTCCATCTTGTGTTCATAGCTGCATGCAGGACATTGCACCCTAGTGGGCAGTATTCCTTTTCCCATCTAAACTTGGCAATAAAATAGTGACTCAGATGGTAAAGAATCTGCCTGCAAAGCATGAGATCTGGGTTTCATCCTTGCCTGGATGGGGAAGATCCCCTGGAGTAAGATATAGCAAACCATTCCAGTATTCTTGCCTGGAGAATCCTGTGGACAGAGGAGCCTGGTGGGCTACAGTTCTTGAGATCGCAAAGAGTTGGACATGATTGCGTGACTAACACTTTTTTTTTTCACTTTCTTTATTCACTATTAGCCAGAATTTCTTCATGAAGGGAATGAAGATTTCATTTTCCTCTTCCTCCACAGCTTGCTGCTCTGTTTGTGGTGGTCTGCCTGAATTCAGCGGCGGCAAGATGGGCTGTGTCTAATTTAGAGAGATTTGCATGCAGTCTGCGTTCCTTCTTTATCTGGGGGAAAGGCATTGTCAGGGAGGCTGGCAGGCATCCTTCAGTCACCCCCACAGCAGCACCAGTGCCCAGGTGGCATCTCCTGCCATTACCGAGTGTGTCGATTTAGTGTCAACAGGGAAACGAGACTCACTTTCCTGAAGGCAAAAACTTCTTGATTAGATTTTCTTACTCCACAGTAGAGGTAGAAGTGGAGTCACATTTTTCAATCTGTCCTGCTCCCTGGTACACATGGAAAGTGGTTGGTATCGCAGCGGTGGGCCTTCGTTATCTGTGCCAGGAAAATGGCAAGCTCTCCTCCAGTCACCTTTCCCTTGATTAGCTAACACACGCCCTTGGCATAAACTTCAGAAGGTACAGAAGGGGATTCAGAACATAAATCTCCCTACCAGCTGCATCTCCGGGCCACCCCAGCCTCTCCCCACAAGCAGCCAGCGCTAATGAGCTGGAGTAGATCTTCAGAGGCGGTCTTAGGTGTTTGCAAGTGAATAAAAATATAGCTAACACAAATGGTGGCATCTCCTGTTCTCTGTTCTGCACCTCGATTTTCGCTCTACATTCACCCGATGCACAGAGTACCCCACCCACCCACTCCTTTAATAGCCGAGCTCCATGGCAGAGCTGTGCGATAATTTAGTTAATCCTGTTAATGGACATTTAGGTTGTCTTCGATCTTTGGCTATTACAATGCTGCAGTGAACATCCTTGTATAGAACATCATTTCACACATGTGTGAGTTTAAATTCCCAAGCAGAATTGCTAAGTCAGAGAGGATGTGCGTTTTTCACTGTGATATAGATTGTCATGTTGCCCTCCTTCCATCAGTGGTGTATGTGAGGGACACCACCCCCTGCCACCAACCCCACAGCTTCCTTGCCCCTGTTAGCCGTTTTCATCTCTGCCTGTCTGAACAGGGAACGGAGTTCACGGTCTTAATTTGCGTTTCTCTTACGAATGAAGTCATTCATTGTTTCAGAAGAATGGATGTATTGAGTGTGTGACATGCAAGCTGTACCCATGGAGCCCGCGCTGTGTATGAGCTAAGTGCTTTATTCAGATGAGCATGTGGAACCCTCATTGCTGCAGGATAGGTACTTTTTATCATCAACCCATTTCACAGATGTGGAAAGCAGCTTGAGAGGATCAGTGGCTTACAAAGAGACAGAGCTGGGAGGGGAACATAAGCAAAGTGGTTCCAAAGCCTACACTCTCGACCCCAGAGCCACACTGTCCCCCAACCACGTGGCAGAGACGGAGCCCTGCCTTATCGCACCACTGGAAGCAGAAGCCCCAGAGGAGCAGCCCCATGACTGAAGCCCACAGCAGTCCTGCAGGGCCCCTGCTCTCTCCCTGTGTCTCTCACACACCATCTGAGCGGTGGCTGCAACACTCACCTACATGGGGGGCCTCGGGGGCAGACTCCCTGGCTGCCCTTCCCGGAAAGAAGGAAATTGAGAAATGTCTGGAAAGGTTAGGCTTTCCAACCACAGCAGGGAGGAGGAGCCACCTTCAGGCACCCTTGGGTGAGGCTCCTTGCCCGCCTTCCTCACCATCTC